ACGTCTGTTATATACTTTTACAGTCTGTTATATACTTTTACAGTCTGTTATATACTTTTACAGTCTGGGATATACTTTTACAGTCTGTTATATATTTTTACAGTCTGTTATATACTTTTACAGTCTGTTATATACTTTTACAGTCTGTTATATATTTTTACAGTCTGTTATATACTTTTACAGTCTGTTATATACTTTTACAGTCTGTTATATACTTTTACAGTCTGTTATATACTTTTACAGTCTGTTATATATTTTTACAGTCTGTTATATATTTTTACAGTCTGTTATATACTTTTACAGTCTGTTATATACTTTTACAGTCTGTTATATACTTTTACAGTCTGTTATATACTTTTACAGTCTGTTATATACTTTTACAGTCTGTTATATATTTTTTACAGTCTGTTATATACTTTTACAGTCTGTTATATATTTTTACAGTCTGTTATATACTTTTACAGTCTGTTATATACTTTTACAGCCTGTTATATATTTTTACAGTCTGTTATATACTTTACAGCCTGTTATATATTTTTACAGCCTGTTATATACTTTTACAGTCTGTTATATACTTTTACAGTCTGTTATACTTTTACAGTCTGTTATATATTTTTACAGTCTGTTATATACTTTTACAGCCTGTTATATACTTTTACAGTCTGTTATATACGTTCGACAAGACATTATGCCCCATTCTAAAGACAAAACACCTTTTTCATGTTCAGAGAAAACTACTGAACGCCTGTATATTTGTCCGGGGTTATGTTGATAATTCCGTGAGGTTTTTAAATGAACAATAACTGTGAGCTAATGAGCTCACAGTTTCATGTTATTTCATGTTTTTTCATGTTATTTCATGTTATGTTATGTATGAATGAGACTGAAAGAAAACTTTCTAAAGTTTAAATATTTATTTACAATAAACTCTATGGCAATTCCACCAATCAATAAAATTCAGGTTCTGTTTAAACATCCGAGGTTTTACCAGTATCACATCATTTTATCTACAGCAAGCTTTCAAGATGGCTGCTGCTCTCATTCTCTCTGTAAGTTTCTTTCCTTGAATTATTTTGTAATCCAGTTTGATGCTTGGATCTCAATAGGTGACTAGAAAAAAGGCGAAACATTACACAGAAACTTTCTAAAGAAAAACTGGACTTGATGGTTTAGGGTTAAGAAAAGTTATCTTATAATCTTTTATTTTAAATTTCAGATAATTCTCGGTTTGATTTGTCAAATTAACGGTAAGACGAATTTCAAACTAGTCCCTCGCTCTTTTTATCGTTTTTCATATTTCCAATAACTGAATAATATTAAGATATTAAACATTAGTAAAGCTATTTACTCAGATCGATTCAGGGTAAAGTTAATATTTTAGTCGAAAATGAATGTTAATTACTCGCGAACTTGGCTTTGTCCATCAATAATTTACGTCAGAATTTGATTCTCTGGAATGGATTAGAAAGTTATATTTACAACAAAAATAAAAAGTAAGGTTTATGTTTTAACAAAGAAAAGATACGTCATCAATTCGTGTATTTTTCAGGTTTAGACACTGACCACTGGGGAACGTATTTTGTGACGTCATTCATTCGACATTCGCCAGGAGCTGATTATATCATTATAATAACGACAAGGGAAGTAAGTCGAGTGAAGATTACTGATCATGGTTCTGGGTATACCAACTTCGTCACTATTGGAGCCAATAAGAGCCACGCTGAAGTATTTAACGACACTGTTATACCTGTATCTTCACTGGAAGTAATAGAATCAATGGCTATTTCAGTCGAATCCTCAGTTAAAGTTTCAGTTTATGGTTTCAGCAATTTTTTGAGATCATCAGATGGGTTTTTGGTTCTTCCAGTCGCCACTTTAGGAACTGAATATTTGGCTATTAATTACGACCAAGGCTTTCGTAAGTATCTATTATTTACCAATTCGAGCTGACTTTATTATCATGTTTTTTTCATCTCAGAATTGAAAATATCATTTTTATTGCGTTTGTTAAATATTGTAGAGTTAAGTTCAAATTTTAAACCTTTTTTTACCTTAAGCATTGTTTCAAGTTCTTTAGTTAAAGAATATAACCCATTTTGACTTTTGACTGACAACTAATTTCAGGTTCTAAGTAGATTAGATTATATTAAGTAGAATATTAAGTACGTGTCTTTTCACCATAAACCAAAACCCTATTGCTGACATTGAACATCAACGGTTCTTATGTACTTGTGTTTCCTGCCAACAAATAAAATGACAAATTTATACATCGGAAGGTCCATAGAATAAATTCAAAATGAGTTTTTATTTACAATGTCTTTAAAATGTAGATTAAACAAACATTAAAATCCGGACTTCAATTCATATCATGAGAAAACGGAAAACATCATTTCTACAACAAAGATTCAACAAGGATGAAACCATTTTATTTTCATTATCTTAAAAGATCTAATATAGAAATAAGAAACCATTTAAAATATCATGATGGTTTTTTTTTTCAAATAAATAAACTTTATTTCGATTTGCAGCTTGACATTGGATATTATTACCCAGATATATCACGTATTCAAGCTGATATTGTATGTTCTCTTTATGTTTCTCAACCTATTAGCTTGATGATCTTGATTCTAAAATATTTGTTTAATTTTAACCTAACACAAAACAAAGGTAGGTATGTAGATAACAAGTTATCGTTCACTTCCAGTGGATGCTGATATCACAGACTAGGTAGTTGTTGGTAGATGACAAGTTAACTTTCGCTTCCAGTGGATGCCGATATCGCAAACTAGGTAGTTGTTGGTAGATGCCAAGTTCACTTCCAGCTAACTGATATCACAGACTAGGTAGTTGTTGGTAGATGACAAGTTAACGTTCGCTTCCAGTGGATGCTGATATTACAGACTAGGTAGTTGTTGGTAGATGGCAAGTTATCGTTCGCTTCCAGCGGGTGCTGATGTCGCAAACTAGGTAGTTGTTGGTAGATGGCAAGTTAACGTTAACTTCCAGCGGGTGCTGATATTACAGACTAGGTAGTTGTTGGTAGATGACAAGTTAACGTTCGCTTCCAGTGGATGCTGATATTACAGACTAGGTAGTTGTTGGTAGATGGCAAGTTATCGTTCGCTTCCAGTGGATGCTGATATTACAGACTAGGTAGTTGTTGGTAGATGGCAAGTTATCGTTCGCTTCCAGCGGGTGATGATGTCGCAAACTAGGTAGTTGTTGGTAGATGGCAAGTTAACGTTAACTTCCAGTGGATGCTGATATTACAGACTAGGTAGTTGTTGGTAGATGACAAGTTATCGTTCGCTTCCAGCGGGTGCCGATGTCGCAAACTAGGTAGTTGTTGGTAGTCGTAGTAGTTGGTAGTGATGCTACTGACATCAACGATAATTTTCTTGACGTTTTGTTTTCAGCACAGATATTGGTAGCTGCAGTAGAAAATAAAACAATAGTTGACATTGAAATGACTGTACCCAATATTTGTCTCTATAACTCAACACCTCAAGTATTTAATATTGGGGAGGTTTTCACTTTTACAATGGACGAGTTCGACTTAATTCCTGTCTACTGTGCACGTGACTGCACCGGTATGAAAATTACGGCAAATAAACCAGTCGCAGTTTTATCTGGAAACCTCTGCGTTAAAATACCAGCAACGTCAGTTTGCGACCATATTGCAGAGATGCTTACTCCGACGTCCGAGTTTGGTACTCTATTTATTATCGTGTCTCCAATTGGTCAAGATCATATAAGTTTTTTCCGAGTTTTGGCCTTGGAGAATGAAACGACTGTATTTACAGGAAATGCTAATTTCACTATTGATGCTTATAAACATATAACATTCGGTGCTCCTACAGGTGTTAACCAATGCTTAAACACCACCAAACCAGTTTTAGTAGCTCAATATATGACTGGACGAACCGCCATAACTCAATCTGAGAATTATACTGGAGATGGTTACATGGTTTTGATACCCCCAGTTGATCGATATCCTACTAACTACGTCATTGATACGTCATTTCTACACAATGACGTCATCAGTTACATGGTAACCATATTTGATTGGGATGTTGATAGTTGTCTCTATGGTTACACTGTAAACGAGATTAGTGGAATACACACAAATTCAACGAGAAATTCTATGGGCGTCATCATCTATGGTGTTGATTTTAGAGCAGGGTACGCCTATCTTGCAGGCTTAAAATTGACTTCTTTTTCAGGTAAGTTTAGAGAAAATAAATGAATATTATTTCGAATTTTTCGTTCTACCAACTGATAAAGAGTTTCACAATCTACAATTTCAAAATGAAAATCGTACGTCTGGTTCGAAAACAAATATGAATTATCTCTTTTGATCTGTTTTGAAGTAACTTTATCACCAGTTAACTCCCTTTAATGGCGGTCAGGTTTTCATGACACAGCTATTTAATCGATGCACTCCTGTTCTAATGTGACAGAAGTTTTATTTTCTAGGATGAAGTCCAATCTAGGAATAAAGGAGTGAGGGGGGGGGGAGGGGGGCTCCATTCGAGGAGAAGGGCCGCGAGTGTATAATGACATAGTAAGCACAATAACAATGACAGAATAGTGAGCACAATAACAATGACAGAATAGTGAGCACAATAACAATGACAGGATAGTGAGCATGATATGTGAAGGATCTACTCGGATGAGGTTTAGGTGGAAGGTAGTGATATCGATATTGCTATAGTATACGTATAGTTTTTTTATTTCAGGACAGGAGAAGTGTAAAAAGAAACCTTGTAAAAATGGAGGCTGGTGTTTAGAAATGAGTTTTGGATATAAATGTAGATGTTTTAAAGGTTTTACTGGAACCCAGTGTAACATGACAGGTAATTACCCAAAACATAGCCACCCAACAAAGTGTCAAGATTAACTCCGATATAAAATGACTTTTGATGTATTGCCTGCTCAGAAATAATAATAGATCCATATATAAAACGTTCTTCTTTTCACTCTGAGTAAGGAACGGTAAAATAAAGTAAAATATTATAATATGTTAATACTATTTCAGATATTTCTAACCAAGTTCATTCTCAAGTCTATAGTGAAGTACCAGACACAATTGCTCTGAAAACATTGACTGCTTCACCAACATCAACTCTAGTAGCTGATCAGCTGTCTGATCTTACAATGAATCCGACTTCATTTGTCTCTTCCACCTTATCCCCCTTTATCAGAGAAAGTGAAAGTGATTCTTATGAATTGTCTATTCCGAGCGAAGAAGACTATACCACGGAATCGCTATTAATAACGCAATCAGATCGGCCTTCTCATGGTTCTGGTGATTTAAATGTATTTGAAAATTCTTTTACCACAGTCTTTAAGATACCAGAAACAGAAATTTTCGAAGCATCAGAAATATGGAATGAAGAGTCGTTGTCTAAACTGTTCCCTAATGGTATAGAAACCACCCAGTACTCCCCACCAAAGTCAAGTCATTTGGAAATTATGTCATCATCAATACCGCTTATAGAACCAAGCACTTTTATAGTTAGTTCAACACCATCATTTACTACAGAACATACCGACCTCCTTGGGCGTTATCAGAACATTTCAGGATTTGAAACAGCAACTCAACCCAACTTTATATCAACTTCTAAATCACACGAGATGTTCTGGCCCACCAAACGATGTAATGGATACACCTGTCAATGTCAATGTCCCTGTTCTGGATATTCTAATTATAGTAACACCGAGTCCTATAATGGATATAATCTGAATTTGTTGAAGGTTGATAAAAACACCGTATCTAAAACATTCTATCTGAAAAATTCAGCTGTGAACCGGAAAGAATCTGAGAAAGATCTTGGAATCGTGTCTGTTTTGTTTGTTATTATTATAACATCTGTAGTAATTATATCAGATATCACCAGTTATTTTCAGAATGAATATTCTCAACTGAGAAAGTCTGGATAGTGACCGACTCCCTCGCCATTCTCGTGTTTATCATTATATTTTCACAATATTTATTATCTATGTATAAATGTGATTTAAACATGTATGTAAATTGTTGAAACTTTGTGTTGCATAATCCAGGACTGGTTGAAACGTTATGTTACATAATCCAGGACTAGTTGAAACGTTATGTTACATAATCCAGGACTGGTTGAAACGTTGTGTGACATAATCTAATCCAGGACTAGTTGAAACTTTGTGTTACATAATCCAGGACTGGTTGAAACGTTGTGTTACATTATCCAGGACTAGTTGAAACGTTATGTTACATAATCCAGGACTAGTTGAAACGTTATGTTACATAATCCAGGACTAGTTGAAACGTTATGTTACATAATCCAGGACTAGTTGAAACTTTGTGTTACATAATCCAGGACTAGTTGAAACGTTATGTTACATAATCCAGGACTGGTTGAAACGTTATGTTACATAATCCAGGACTAGTTGAAACGTTGTGTTACATTATCCAGGACTAGTTGAAACGTTGTGTTACATAATCCAGGACTGGTTGAAACGTTATGTTACATAATCCAGGACTGGTTGAAACGTTATGTTACATAATCCAGGACTAGTTGAACGTTATGTTACATAATCCAGGACTAGTTGAAACTTTGATTCTCCCAAATGTACAGGCCTAGGGTGGAGCAGACACTTTATTTAGAAATTAGGATTAAGGGTCTTGATATTGAGTTTTCTTCTGTTCTTATTCTAATTTGAAATTAGAAAAAATAACTCGCCCGATGGGCGAGAAGTATAGTATCTGTTATGTACTGATTGTTTTTAGTTTACTATGAACAATATTATCATTTAAGTTCTTATTTTTTGAATATGCAACTATCTTTTCTGCTTATAGACATTGGGGAATTTCTCTTGAAGGCTCTTATAGTGGGCATGAACTATCTTGCTTGCTCGATTGCTGGTTGTATTAAACGGGACAACAAAGGGTGCTATGCCTACATTATGATGAATATTTAGTCCTATAGGTCTTGCGGTGTACAATGATTATCTTTATTGTATTTCGGGGAAGGGAGGGTTTGATTCTCCCAAATGTACAGGCCTAGGGTGGAGCAGACACTTTATTTAGAAATTAGGATGAAGGGTATTAAACGGGACAACAAAGGGTGCTATGCCTACATTATGATGAATATTTAGTCCTATAGGTCTTGCTGTATTCAATGTCTCAATCCAATGGGCTTCCCTAAATTGACGGAATTTGGTAGTTTCATCTTCGGGCAAGTCAATTTCTATACGCCCAATTGGGATTAGGGCGAGATCGTCTATTGAGTGGTCGTCAAGGTTGAAATGATTAGAAACAGGCTTGTCTTTCTTTAATTTGATGTCTGACCTGTGAGCATTAAAGCGAGTTCGTAAATTATTCTTAGTTTCTCCTACATATTGTTTGGGGCATCTCTTGCATGAAATTAAATATATTACATTCGAATGTTCACATGTTAGATGTTCCTGGATCGGGTACCTTTTATTCGTAGAGTTGCTTACAAAATAATGAGTTTCAGATATAAAGGGACATGTTTTGCATCTACTGGACAAACATGGAGCACTTCTTAAACCTGGAGGTACTTCGGCATACAGTCTGTTTTTAGCTGCTATTGTGCTAAGGTGGAATTTTTTATGTTTCGTAAAAATCGTTTAGAGTACCCACGCTCTTTCAGTTTTGAGAAAACAATCGTACAGGCTTGGTTGAAATCAGAAGATCTTGTACAAATTCGATGAAATCATAAAACTTGTGACTTAATTATACCAGAAAAGGTATGTTTTGGGTGAAAGGAGCTCTTGTGCAAGAGTTGATGAGTATCAGTTTCTTTGAAATACACTTTAATATCCAGTTTATTTGTTTCTGCTATGGAATCTCCCTTAAAGACTGTGGTATCGAGAAAGTCTATGCTTTTGTCACTCACGTTTGCGGTTAGTTTGATAGAAGAATGGTGGGTGTTGAGAATTTCAAAGAATTCCCAAAACTGTTTGATAGAATAAGTCCAAACCATAAAAATGTCATCCAAAAAGCGTCCGTAAAAAAGTGGGTCAAATGGACAGAGGGGCAACACCCCACGTTCCCACTCTGCCATGAAAAGGTTTGCGTACGAAGGGGCGAAACGTTTGCCCATTGCTGTCCCTGAAGTTTGTAAATATGTTTTACCATTAAATGTGAAATCGTTTCGACTAAGACAAATCTCTAAAAGCTGTAGAATTGCATCGTCGGGTCTGTTTGGATCTGGGTTTCTATTAAAAGCTTTACGAACTGCCGTTAAACCAGTAGTTTTATCGATATTGGTATACATAGAAGAAACGTCGATAGAAATTAAAATAGCATTAGAGGGAACTCGAAGATTTTTTATTTTATTGACAAAATCGGTTGTGTCTTTAAGGTAGGCGCGATGTTGACATGCTAGAGGTAGTAAGAAATGATCAATGTATTCTGACACTGCATAAGACTCACTACCACAGTCAGATATAATCGGGCGGCCTTTAGGGATTTTATTCGAGATAAACCACTCCTTGGTTGGATTCTTATGGATTTTAGGCAAAGTGTACAAATGTCTCTCGCGACAATCAGGTTTGGCAGACACATAGTCATATTGTTTCTGTTTGAGATAACTAGTTTTGACTAAATCGACAAGAATATTGTTAATCATGTTAGCAGTTTCTTTGAAAATTGGTTTCGGTAAAATGGCATAGTGTTTAGGATTATTCAGTTGATTCTCTGCTTCTGAAACGTAATCCTCCCTATTCAGAATGACACAACATGAACCTTTGTCACTCTTTTTAATAATAATGCTATCGTCTTTCTTAAGTAAGTTTAACGCTTCACGTTCCACTCGTGTCAGATTAGGCTTTTCGTGTGTTATGGAAAGGTTCACTGTTTGGCTATTCATACTCGCAAATGCTTTCAATATTTCAGGATGGATGGCGGCCTGAGGGGGTGTCCACGTGGAATTAGGAATAAACATTGTTCTAGCACCACGTGGGGGGTGGTTTCGAAAAAAATATGTGCAGCTAAGATTTCGTTGAAATCGTTCAATGGATGGTCGGAGATAATTCAAGTTAGCTATCTTTGGTGTGGGAATAAATTTAAGTCCACGGTCTAAGACTGAATGCTGAAGGGGTGTGAGAATTTTGCGGCTCAAGTTAACTACAGTTTGGCCTAGCGGTGGCCTCTCAGTATTTTTATCCCCAGTAATTAGTTTAAAGACTTACTCGATGCTTGAAGCTGGTGTATCCAAAACAAATAAATGCTGTTTGCTGTTTCTGGAGACCAATGAAGATTATCAACTGGTTCGAATTCTTCTTCGTAGGGTGGTAAGATTGTTGGGTTGTTGATACTGGACTCCATCATCATGTTGTTGAGAGTGCTGTGGTTCTGTTGTGCTTTCTTCGAGATTTTATTTGAAATGGGTATACATGTGAAGAGGATCTTGGAGTTTGGGAAGGTTTTGTTGGCTGTGGCGATTAATTTCTGGGCTTGGTTAAAGGAGGTCTTTGGTAGCTGATCACGGTTGTTGAGGCCTACATGAAGAATAATGGTAGTAGGTTTGGGATCATGGTCGTATGATTCCAGGATTGACTGTATGTGATGGATTTGGGCACCGGAGTAAGAATGTATTTCAGTGTCTGAACTGGTTTTGGTAATTCGATTCAGGTTAGATGATCCAATAATCAAGGTAGATTTCTTTAGAGCGGGTAGCTTCCATAATGATTTGTCCTTGGTTTGGTGATAATACGGTTTAGTAGCGGATATAATGGTCGTTGACGGTGTGATTGGTACTGGTTTGGTAGTTGTTAGAATTGTAGCATTGGGAACGGACTGGGATCTCGTTCGAGAGGGGGGGGGGGAAGGTCTGGATGTACATCTCGACTTGGATGGAGACTGAGGGGTGGTTTGCTGGTCCAAAAACGCACAGAAGGAAGAAAGGTTGGCGGATCCTGGATCACGTGGTGAAGATTCAGATGGTGTGGAAGGGGAAGACGATTCTGAAAGTGAAAAGAGAAGGGGAGTGCCCTCTCTACGAGAGCGTTTACCTATGTCTGCTGGACTAGGAGTAGGTGAACTTCGGGCTCGTTTAGGGGTTTGGTTCGGCAGCGTCGTGGCTCTAGATGGTGCAGGTGTAGTATCCATTTCAGTTGGTAGAGATATGGTTACTCTGGTTTTTGTTTCGTTGATTGTTTGGTAGAACTTTGTGATTACAGCTTGAGTGAGACGTTTCCCATAGGAGCGACGGGACCAGGACAGGGCATGAGAAACGATGCGGTCTACGGCAGATGATGATAAAGACTTGGTACGAATGGTGGTCAGCTTCTCTTGAAGTGTGGTTTGGTAATGGTCGATCAGGACCTGCGTAACCTTAGAGAGCCATGTCCGATTGAGGGATCTAATATTCGCGTCAACAGCTGATGTTTTCATTGCTGGACGGATAAAACTATCCAACTCAGAGACTTTGCGTTTGAAGGTAAACGCTGGTTGGCCTTGCTGTTGAAGGGTAAGGATTGCCAAATGATGGAGGCACTGCAAAACTTGGAAGAACACCTTCACAAAGGGTTCTTCCTCCTTATGAGTGGGGACTGGTTGGCTTCTTGCCAGTGGTTGTTGTAGTTGGGGAGCATAATGAAAATAAGTTGAGGTTAGAAAGGGAATGTACAGCGGATGTAACAGGAGGAAACTGTATATGCTAGCGTGAAAATGTAGGGATCAAATTATGCAAATAAGTCAAACTGGGTTTGGGGATATATAAAGTAAGATGAAAGTTATGATGAAAAATGCAAAAATATATATTTAGGTGATAAATAACGCTAACAATGATGTGAAAAATTATAACAAGTAAAACAAAAACTTACGCAATTGACACGAACCGGTTTTCGAAATATTATCCTTTTTCAAGTGTCGAGGAATGGTTATATAAATATAATACCAGTGTAATTAGCACTATTTACTTCTTAATCATTATTTCAACAAAAACTAGTAGTTTCTTTAAATTACAAAAATTCAAAATTTCAACAACATATAATGATTATGATACAACAAGGAATAAATTATGAATAAAATTTTCAAATCTTCAAACATACCATTAGATGAAATATCAACTAAAAATTTTCTAGGATGAATTTATAATTAGTTTGTGGTTTTCTTGTACAAATTGACGTTGTCTAGTCTAATCTGCAACCACAATTCCATATAAGTGTATCAAAAATAATATAAATACATGTATTGGTGTCATTTTAGTGCTGAATGACGCAATATCGGAGAAGTTACCTGTAAAAGAGCGCTGGTATCTGGAACATTTTAACTCGTTCTCAGACCAGTGATCACACCACGAAATACACGCTACAGTAAACCGACATGTGACAATACTTCCTCTTAAATTAATAAACAAATTGTTATCTAAATACTCAAAATATCGTTCGGGTTTTACACTTTTAAAATCTAAATCGCACAAACTATAAGCCATCCTATCAAGAATAATATAACCAAAGACATGATCATTGACAATAGTTATATCATGTAAAGCAACATTTTGGCTGTAGTATTTGGTAACGTTGAAAGCACGTTCTAGATTTGTCGCAACCTGTACAAGTTTGGATGAAATATGTTCTAGCACCTGCTCAGAGCTTATATCCATAGGAATAGTGAAATTCATTTTGAAGAAGTAACGAATACAACCTATATGATTCTCTCCTATAAGACATGTATCATTAACTACAGGCAAGGTGCCAACACATTTCTGTATTTTGCAAGTTTGTATATTATCCTGGGAATCAAGCGAACAAGATAAACTTTCAATGAGACTCATATGAGAATGTATCGAAATCGAGGCCTGTCTGTTATTCTTCCAATTTAAAACAATGGAGAAAACGAGAGATTGTTCATAGTGACCATAAAATATGTCTGTTTTTGTAGCCATGAAGCACGAGTTGTTGTTTGGTGATAATACAACATTACATTGAAGACAGAATGTATTTTTATATATGTTTGTCTTGTATCTAATGGGTGATAAAGCTTTTTCTTTACACAACCGCGATTCTTCTGGGGAAGCAAACTTTTCACAAGTTGATATAAGTTCGGGAAAACATATAATTTCTTCTGAATTTGGGGGTGGGATCATTTGTATAGAATTCTGAAAGAAATTTATAATATGCTGAATATCCCGAATCCTATCTTTACGGTCAGTTGTTCCTACCATAGTGGACCAATACACAACATCATCTGGTTTTTCACCATTACATAACATACAATATCTGTTTTTATAGTGTAAACCAGTTCTGTTAGACATCACCTTTGACACCACGGCTGATGATCTGGTTTCTGACTTACATAGTTCGACTGTCGTTAGGGAGTAATTGGATAAAGAGCAGCTTGTGATAATCTAGATAAATATATAGAAAAACATCTACAGTCTACGACAAATTTCAAAGCAGATGAAAAAGACCCGGAAAACTGTTTTAATACCAACGAGAACTTATTTTTAGGTTTATATTTCTATACAGCCTTCCGGGTTTTATAAAAATATAAAATCATTGGATCATCTCCCTTGTTTGAAAGTCCAGAATTACAAAAATGAATAGAAATATATGAAATGCTTAAATTTCGAACTAATAATAAAAACAACAAAAAGTAATCAGCGATCAAAGTATCAAAAGCAAGAAACCACATTATCAATAAGAAAGACAAGACTGATATTACATTACCTGTTGTGGCAGGACGTAGCCAGAAATATTGCTATCACATTCTGTGGAGACGTTCATCAGATTCTCGTGTTGACTTCGATATATCTCCGATTCTTCTTTACAAACTGCTTCATAATCAAAACAACATCGTCTATATACCTGACAATATTCATCACATGAACACCATAACTCAAAAAACTGTCCACAAACACCCGAACAACTTTGAGGATTGAAGTTGAAACAAGTGTTTTCGATATGATCTGATCTAGTGCTATTATTGCCCACTAGAGAATCAGCATGACTATTATTATTTACAGATAACCAGTCAGTTGATGATGATGTTAAAATCCACTGAAAAAACAGGATCAAACCCAACATATTTACAGTTTTCTGCTCACTGTTCTCTCGAGTGTGGAGTAAATAATTCTATAAAACAGTTTTATATTCTATGGATATACATAATAATATAATACTGTCATAATATCTTAGTAAATTAATTAATTTGGATATCAGTTTTCCATATACAACCACCGTTAGTCTCTTTCAAAGTTCTTCATTATATCATAAAATTAATGAATTTATCAGAAATATTTCAGGAAAGATATCACAATTATATTTTTATACTCTCTGATCTTTCTGTGTGGGCGTATATTGTCGGCACCAAAATTTCCGATAAATGCTCTAGAATCCAAGATGTCATAATTCCAACTAGGTCATTTTAAATTTCATATTCGTTAGGAGTCTATGGTAATATCCAGAAACCGGGGAGATCTCACTGTGATTGGAAGTCATGATTGTCTAAATCAGATCAAATCTTAATTTGATCTAGTGTATAGCATTATTGGGTGCAACAGAAGTTTTATTTAACCGAAACCCTGTATATGGGTAAATTAACAAGAACTCAATTTCTTCACTTCTTCCCTGTGTCATGAAATATACTTATACCAAGTTTGTTATTTCCGACTGGGTTAACACCCCCTATAATGTCCTTAGAGGACATTGATGCTAGGTTGCACTAAGTGTTGCACGATATTACAAGATCAATTTCACTAAACGTCTGGTTACTGCTACTGAAACAAAAATCTAAGTAATTCATTTGTCCATTGCAAATTGGATCATATTCCATTAATTCTCTGAAACAATTTTTTTGTATTATTTGTAAGCATTTATTTCCATTTTCTTAGAATTTCCATTATTGTTGTAATTTGGTTTAATCTTTAACTCAAATTGATAATTGATGTAAAAGAATATGTTCTCTTCTCTTTTGACCCTGGCAAGTGCTTCTATGGGAGATTATCTTCTCTATCACCCACCACGTATCCGCGGTGGCTAAGTGAGTTAGACACTTGTTCTCTAACCTGAAGGTCCAGGGTTCAATACCGGCATAGATCGAGGTATGGATTTTTCAACCGAGTTTCCCCCTGTCAGTGATGCAGGTAAGAGGGGCAGACATGGAAAAAACGTCTAGTCGTTCGAATAGGACAATAAACCGAGGCCCCGTGTGCAAAAGGCCGTGCACATGAAAGATCCTTCGACAATTTGAAATCGAATGGCAAAATTTCCCTCATTGCACCCTGCATGGAGTTGCCCTTCTTCATTAACCCACATGGTGCAGAAAAGTAGGACGTAAAACTCCATTCCTTTCATTTTCATTTACAAAGAGTGTTGAACAGATTTGTTGGTTGATAAATGAAAGATTTTCAAGTCAGTGTTGTCTGTATCATCTAGATAAGAGTTACCACCCTTCTACCAGAAACTATTGATCATTTTTGGATGAATTCAAAATCTTTGTGTTTCAATACAGGAATAATTTACAAAATAATACCTGGTGAAAAAAAGTAGAATTTGCATTTTTCCTTTTGAAGCCGAGCATCACATAGAATTTATACAGAGAATGAAATAAAGTTTAAATAAAACGGATTTTACTTAATCTTATTCAGGACGGTAAATGGCATGAAATAAAATTTGAATTCTAAAAGGAAGTAATTATGAACTAATAAATAGTATTGAATTATCAAGGGAGGTAATCCTTAACTAATATATAATATTGAATTATCAAGGGAGGTAATCCTGAACTAATATATAATATTGAATTATCAAGGGAGGTAATCCTTAACTAATATATAATATTGAATTATCAAGGGAGGTAATCCTGAACTAATATATAATATTGAATTCTTAAGGGAGGTAATCCTGACCTAATAATTGGATTGAATTCTCAAGGGAGGTAAGCCTGAACTAATGTATAACATTGGATTCTCAAGGGAGGTAATCCTGAACTAATATATAACATTGGATTCTCAAGGGAGGTAATCCTTAACTAATAAATAGTATTGAATTCAATCCTGAACTAATATACAACATTGAATTGTGGCCACAAGCCTGTTTAATATCTTAGAGAACGATAAACAGCAATGTATGATGGAACTTTCAGTATGAAATGACATTATATTACAAGGAAAGTGATCTTTGACGGGATTGACAAACTAAAATTGTGGAAGAGTAAACGAACTAATATAAACAATATTCGCACCAAGACGTTGAAAGACAATTTTAATATGCACATATTTCTCACATTACCTGCGCTTGAGTGCTTCGCGGAGACGTTAATATTTGAATTTATAACGCGATAATTGAATATCTCACGTTCTGGAGGCTTGATCGTAAAGTCTTTTATCTTACAATGAAATAAATTGGTCTGGATGTTTGAGACTAAGTTTTGCTTTTACATCTTGGACTCGATCTTCAAGAAATCAATCATAAACTGATCTGGACATACGAGTCTACCGACCAATATGAAGTTTTTTCTTTATGGATGAATATAACTTCATAATCTGATGCTGTATTGTCATCATGGCGTCAAAAAGCGCCATCTAACCGGAAGTGAGATCAGACAAGCGGAAAATCTAAGTGAGCAATTTCTGGTCGATTAAATTTGTTCGCATCTAAAATATTGATTCTCGGTTATAGCATATCAACTTTCTTCACATTTTCTCATTTTTTCTTGTCAAAATGTGAAATTTCTAATGACTTATTCCATCAACTGTAATGGAAATAAAATGAAATGAAATATGGTTTCTCAATACTAATAATCAGTGGAAGAAGATTGACGACAACTAGAATATTTCTAACAGTTGTTTAGTTTAAAGATGGATAATATAGTTTCACAATACAAACAAACAAACTTGAGATAAGAAACAACAGTGATAATATTAATAGAAAAAGAAGTATTTTATACACTGACAGGTGATGTACATACCTCCGGATTCCAAACATAATACAGATACACACCTTTTATACCCACTGTCAATATCTACATCCCTAGGACTTATCATTCAATATCTATATCACTAGGGCTCCCTAGGACTTACCATTCAATATCTATATCCCTAGGGCTTAACATTCAATATCTATATCTCTAGGGCTCACTAGGACTTATCATTCAATATCTATATCTCTAGGTCTCCCTAGGACTTATCATTCAATATCTATATCCCTAGGGCTCACTAGGACTTATCATTCAATATCTATATCCCTAGGTCTCCTTAGGACTTATCATTCAATATCTATATCCCTAGGTCTCCCTAGGACTTATCATTCAATATCTATATCTCTAGGGTTCACTAGGACTTATCATTCAATATCTATATCCCTAGGTCTCCCTAGGACTTATCATTCAATATCTATATCTCTAGGGTTCACTAGGACTTATCATTCAATATCTATATCTCTAGGGTTCACTAGGACTTATCATTCAATATCTATATCCCTAGGTCTCACTAGGACTTGCCATTCAATATCTATATCTCTAGGGCTCCCCGGGACTTATCATTCAATATATATATCTCTAGGGCTCCCTAGGACTTATCATTCAATATCTATATCCCTAGGTCTCACTAGGACTTACCATCCAATATCTATATCCCTAGGGCTCATTAGGACTTACCATTCAATATCTATATCTCTTATCATGGCACCCCTCTCAATAAAGTAAAGGGGAGAGAGACATTAAAACCGAAACTGTTCTTATCATTTCATTAGTACATAAAGGAGCAGAATGATTGTAAGTTTAACTCCATTCCATTAAAATTCTCCTGTTAATACTCTAAATACCTGTAGACGAGAACATACCAGGTATCTGATACCCGTAAAAAAAATTCCAGTTATTAATTTTCAAATCAAATTATACCTGGCGAATATAATCATCCGTATCATAACCAATTAAATAACACCTTACAAAACATTCTAGATCTAATTATAATCACTTCCGGGTTATTTATAAATTGATGACGAGGTTACAGACGATATCCGGACCGGAAGTAGCAATATCCGATAGGTTATATTTTATTGAGAATGAATTCAGAGCGGTATATTATATTTAATTCAGAATGTTGTTACCTGGGTTTTCATAACTGACTGTTAATCGAACTGACCTTTTACTAGCTTCGAGAATACTAGGAAGATTTGATACTAGACAGATTTGATACCAGACAGATTTGATACTAGACAGATCTGATACTAGACAGATTTGATACTAGACAGATCTGATACTAGACAGATCTGATACTAGACAGATCTGATACTAGACAGATTTGATACTAGACAGATCTGATACTAGACAGATCTGATACTAGACAGATCTGATACTAGACAGATTTGATACTAGACAGATCTGATACTAGACAGATCTGATACTAGACAGATCTGATACTAGACAGATTTGATACTAGGAAGATTTGATACTAGACAGATTTGATACTAGACAGATTTGATACTAGACAGATCTGATACTAGACAGATTTGATACTAGACAGATCTGATACTAGACAGATCTGATACTAGACAGATCTGATACTAGACAGATTTGATACTAGGAAGATTTGATACTGGACAGTTTAGAGATTAAGAAATATCAGAATCTGGGTTTGAAAGGCGAAACTTTCACTAGATATCCAAATGGATTAAGGTAAGGTCATTCAACAGCCAAGTTAGAGGCAAAAATAAACCTTTTGATTCCCACGTTTACTTATTCACGAACGACAACTCCTCTGTTTTAACCTAGAGCAACCTGTATCTATTACCACCAGGTAATATCTGTATTGTAATGATATATGACTCTATAATAGATATAAAAAGTCGAGATAATTATAAAATAATAAAATAATGATCAACACGACAACATTACTCGATTACCTCCCTTGAACTTTTTCCGGTTATCAAACAGAATCGATCCGAAATGATATCTAAAGCTGGGGTCGAGTAGGAAGAAAAATATAGAGGTCGTTAGGGTTGACCAAACACATCACTCCCAAAATTAGGATGGATTCCCTCACACAATGGAAGAAAAACTGTAATGAATGGTGTCAAAGTCTTTTGTGGATATATCGAAAATGAATCCAGACCAAAATATAAAAAATATACACGCTTTGAGTCCAGTCTAGGGCACTTTGTCAAAAGCAAAAGTGAAATTCGATGGTTTCTAAAATCGGACAGGATTGGCTATCCTCTCATCAACCCAGATCTGTTGATGTTTTGAAGTTCTATTGAAATGCTTTTTTACATTTCATATCAATAATAGAATCTGTCCTGAATCTATTCACCTGGAGGCGAAATCCCCTTCATTTCATATCAATTTTAGTCTCTGATTATAATGCTTTTAGTATCACTTGTTTCGTTCCGTTTTATCATTGATTTCAAATTTACCGTCCTAATTTTGTCAGCAGCCGATCTTATTAATCATTGTATATATGGAAGGATAATGATCGGCAACATGCAAAATAAATGTTTTTAACTATAATATCTAATCACAAAACGAATTATTGTTAAAATGAAAGCTTAATAAGGCATAATGGTGGCCATAATACGGAGGTTTGCAGCAATTTTCAAACAATAATAATTCTAGAATAGGCCGTGATAAAAAGGATTTTGATGTATCTTTGCTTATCTCTAAGTGAAATTTTATCAAAATGCTCCTGGATCTTACAAATTATAGTACATTATGGTTGTCAAATGTTGTAGTTGTAAATTTCTAATGTTTTTGATTATCGTCAAACATACGTTTTATAACTGAGTTGACACTTTGAATTTTAAAACCCTGAAGATCAAGGAGATATTTCAGACCTAGGAAAAAGTCTTTAAAATATTGAAATAACGAAAGTGTATTTCTTTTGTTACGTATTTTAATGATTTTACGACTTGTCGTATCTTTCTTACTGGTGTAGTTCTTTAAGACTGATAATTGCTTAGAATATTTATAACAACACCTGGCACCATACCAGTCTTTTTTAAATGCAAAATCAGTTGGAAATATTTTAGGTAACAATATTTCAACTGCTAACCACCAACTGGATGGTTGTTCTGAAATTGATTGGGGTAAAATAAACCATGTTGTAAATAAAGGTATTGAAATTTTTCTCGCTTTGATCAGAAACACATTTTAATCAAATTTCAACTATTTCACACTCGTTAGTTTTCTTACATGCCGCCATCTTGTATCAATATTTGACGTCATGTCACCAAGCAAAAGTACAATAGAACCCGGATGTTATACAGAGAAATTGTTGATTTTTATCAAATTCAAACATCGAAAATCAACAAAACCAGCTTCATAACGTCAAAGAATTCAATAAAATAACAACGATAGGCCGAGTACAGTTGATTCAGTTAAATACCAACAAATATTTTATTGTCTTGCTTTCAAATATTTTCTACCAATCATATCCCGTTAAATACGATATCACCGACATGACAATATTATGAACTCGCGACAATACGCGCGACACATTCCACTTCCCTTCTGTTTCAACACATTACTCACATTGTTACATCTTCAATATTCATCAAAAATTTCTACAAATCCATATAGTAAGATAGGAGCTTGTTGTTTACATCCTGTCTCAACAATACAGTAGTTGGTAAACTTTCAGTCCATTCTACATGTCTTATAATCCTAACCCTTGTCTGATATTTAATAACATACCGTTCCGATCCCCTGGTCTAAAAACTTCATGTCGCTCTCTCGCCCCTACACCAGGCTCTCTCGCCCCGACACCAGGCTCTCTCGCCCCTACCCCAGGCTCTCTCGCTCCTACACCGGGCTCTCTCGCCCCTACACCAGGCTCTCTCGCCCCAACACCAGGCTCTCTCGCCCCTACACCATGCTCTCTCGCCCCTACACCAGGCTCTCGCCCTACCCTAGGCTCTCTCGCCCCTACACCAGGCTCTCTCGCCCCCTACCCCAGGCTCTCTCGCCCCCTACCCTAGGCTCTCTCGCCCCTACACCAGGCTCTCTCGCCCCTACCCTAGGCTCTTTCGCCCCTACCCCAGGCTCTCTCGCCCCTACCCTAGGCTCTCTCCCCTCTACACCAGGCTCTCTCGCCCTACCCTAAGTTGTTTCGCCCCTACCCCAGGATCTCTCGCCCCCTACCCCAGGCTCTCTCGCCCCTACACCCGGATCTCGCCCCTACCCTAGGCTCTCTCGCCCCTACCCTAGGCTCTCTCGCCCCTACCCTAGGCTCTCTCACCCCTACCCCAGGCTCTCTCGCCCCTACTCAGGCTCTCTCGCCCCTACACCAGGCTCTCTCGCCCCTACCCCAGGCTCTATTGCCCCTACCCCAGGCTCTCTCGCCCCTACCCCAGACTCTCTCGCCCCTACCCCAGGCTCTCTCGCCCCTACCCCAGGCTCTCTCGCCCCTACCTCAGGTTCTCATACAACTGCTATGATGAATGTTTTTATGATATAATATGATAATGAGGAGATATTACCATGTAAAAGGTGAAACAACTCACACGTTACAATTTTAAAATCTGATGCATAATAATTTATATAATAACTAGACCCCTTGTCGACAAATTATAATCATTTATAATCATAATACTAGTATCCAAAAACATTCAATTTGGACTGGTAGCTTAGTTAGCAAACCTTACGAACAAAGAAACATTACTAGCTATGTAGACTCTATGAAAGGGATGCCGAGTCGACAAACCTGAGAACCAAATGTCGAGTAAGTAAGCCAATAAACTTAAAAATATGAGCTAAGTGGACTCTCCGAAAGGGATGTCAAACCGGATGTAGTATGCCAGCGTTACCCTGCAATGTTAGTCGTAAAATTTTTCATTGATGTTCTCAAACCCTTTTTTCGTTGGATGATCATGTTTATCAGGGTACGTACATATTTCTAGAACACCTGATGTCACTAGGTGATGTATTATTGCGTCTCCACTGTGAGTAGCTGGTGTTTATGATTCGACAAGGGACCTATCCACTCTGTTAACCAGATTATACATAAATGATATTATATGTATTTAAACTGTAATAATCGAGACATATCTCAGCGATATTAACCAGAACGAGTTGTAAATTCAGCAAATTTGTAAAATGTCAGTCGAGTCACAGGCCAGGTTTTATCTATTTGATTGAATGATAATTTTTAATAAATTGTACAACAAATTACCTTGTGATAAATTGAAAAATAATATTTAAATTGGGGTTGATGTTATGGTGAACTGAAAATGAGGACTGAGGCTGAAATCTTGGACGTTGAACTCCATTGTATTTATGGTGTATATAAAGAATGTAAAAAGATGATAAAATGTTATCTGAGTCAGTCATCGGGTCTTTATTTAACTAGTTTTATTTCTCTACCAAATCTAAACATAATCCATCTTATATCTTACCCAGCAATTTACAACTCATTTCAATATTACAGAATTATAATATAAACTCTGAGAGAGATCACACCACGAGTTTAAACAGAGATTATCTCAAGACAGCATCATCATCAGCCATCAGAAATTCGTAATCTTAAATTTTACAATTTGTCTTCATCGGAGAATAATTATTGATGACGTAATATTTATGATATATCAGATAAAATTAATATTATTCAAAACGACGTCTGGATAATCGATAGTATAATTAACCTTTATAACTTAGAGACATAAAAAAGACTTGATAAACTATGCTCTTGTCAATATAGACTCGCATTACTAGTATTATTATACATTTAATATTCCATTCACCAATTACCATATTCATACATAGTGCTGATAACACTCATTTTAAATTGGTGCCAAATTTTATTGAACATTTCCACTTTATTGAAGAAAGATCAGAAATCTTTCAGTCTGGACGAGTAGTTTTATTTCAGTCTAAAAATAGATATTTATTTGTTTGACTGATATTGTTAAATTGGTGCCGAATTTTATACGGGATCCTTTCCAGAGTCACCTGATTGCTTTACTTGAACAACATCACAAGTTAAGATTGAAATTAATAATAATTATTAGTAGTCTGAGCAATTAGAGAGTTGCCCCCCTTTAATCATTTCCGGACCGGAAATCTCTAATTAATTCCAATATAGTTGGTTGATAAGATTGTAAGATGAGCGACAATAATAAATACTGCCATATTTTTAACTCATAGTATTAATTCTGAATGACGAATTCCAATTTCTCTGACTCCGCTGAAACTTCGAAAACAAAATCTTGCATCAGGATTCGTCATAATAAAAACATTACAAACATAACCATAGAATGAAGATCCAAGATTGGCGTGTATCGGAAATAATAGCTAATTACTGATGTAACCCTAACGGGTGGATCGTATTGGAAAATGGATGGTCGAGTGATCAGTTGAAAAAAAAATTACCAGTTTAAATTCTAAATTGTTCGTTCTGTTCTTTTAAGAATTAATCATTTATTTTTGTAAATTTAAGAAATGGAATAGGGGAAAACTGTTTCCAGAATTTAGGGTGAGATTTATGACTGGATTTTAAGATAAACGACTAGGAAACCGTGTCAAAGCTCGAGATAATCTTCTCGACTGATACTGGGGATTATAGAACTTATATAAATAAACAATATTCTCCTCTTACTGCCAAAATAATAACTGGATATATTCAAACAACTCTACAAATAACAAGTTCAGATTCATCGAGAAATAAGAATAATTGGCGTGGGACTGCTGTATTAAATATATTAGACTGTTACATACATATTTCATACTATTTATTGTCTCGCCGGGCTCAGTTCGGTCAGCCGTCATTATAACCAGTTCTGTCCTATCGCACTTAGACCTATTCAGTTTGGTGCACACTAATCAATAATTATAAACCTAAATTCTCTCAAATCTCCAGATAAAAACTTTGAACGAAGGAGGCGTATTTGTATTAAAATATACAACTATTTTACAAATTCTCTATGGAATTTCAGAAATCAATATTCTAAAAGTTTTCACGAGCCTGACCCGACTTGTGTACTTTACAATATTTTCATATTTTGTCATTTCTCAAATATTTTCTCTTAAAAAGAAAATCATCTTTTATTTTCTTAAGGTAGATGAATTCCGAACAGATTGAGATAAAAATCATTTCAATATTTGCTATGAAAACGATCAAAGTCGGGACACGATGCACGGAATCGTATCCGGATGCGATTTAAGAAATTTTGTTTGCGTTTATCAAAACCAAATAGAAAAGTTTGTGGAGATTTGTTTCAGAATGTCGAGTTTAATCTTCGCCATGTCCTGAGATTATTTCAACTTTTAATATCTCTATACTCATCTCAAATAACGTTCCATACTGCGCGTGCGCTACAGGAATTATCTCACGTGTTATATAATCTCGTGCTGGCTGGAATCTGCTGTTCAGGTACAGGACCACCGAATAAATAACAAAATGGAATTGACTCGCGTGCCATTTCTTTCAAATATTACAGGTAAATATGGCTGGTAAATTGACATTTTAAAAATCCTAATGTTTGACCAAGATTGGCTGTAAAATTCTCGACCGGAAGTGTATTAGTACAGTCCCGAGGTAAATATAAATATCATAATAATCTGCCAAATTTTTTCTCAACCTCGACACGATGTTTGTTTTTGGAGTTCGTACAAAGTTTGACAACCATATTTCAAGATTTATCATAGGAAAAGAAACGAAAAATTGATGTTTTACTAGCTGGGTATTTGTTTTCAAATGTTTATTTTGTGATGTTTACACAATAAAAAGGTAAAATAAAACAAAAATATCGATAATTTTCCAACATTTGTTTACCCTCTATGTTCCATTTCAAATAAAGTTGAAAAAGTTTTAATCATTGCCACTCGCCTGCTGACTCGAGGCATTCTCAGAAGATTTTCTATTAACTATTTTCTTTACAAATAAATTCTGAATTCGGATTTTTAAGGAAATGGCCGATTTAATGATTTCAAAGAAATTTACAAGTTTGTTTGTAAAATATCACTGTTTTAAAACTGGTTAAAAAAGATGGAGATTTTTCGGAATAATTATTAAATCCAGGTCATAAATCATACAAAATCTGAAGCGAAATGAATCTAAAAATAACCAAATTTCGTCTAAATGGGTAAGTATACATCCCTCCGGGACCATTGTTAAACTTTTATCGGAAATCCAGGTGGCTACCGAGAGAGAGAGATAGAGAAAGAGAGAGTGAGAGAGAGAGAGAGTGAGTGAGTGAGAGAGAGAGAGAGAGAGAGAGAGAGAGAGAGAGAGAGAGAGAGAGAGAGAGAGAGAGAGAGAGAGAGAGAGTAAACGCTGATTTATTTATGCTATTTACTATTACAGTCTGACAACTTTGAATTGAGGAGGCAGGACAATATTCTTACTTAGATTGGTAAAGAACAGTTGACCCTCGTGAAAATACCCGATATCGCGTCCATTGTTTACAGCAAGTTTAACTACAATTCTACATCATATAAAAACTGAGTACAAAATCTCAAAAGGATCGGTTCTTAACATTCTTTTTATTTGAATAAACAAATTTCACCTTCGTCCTTCTAAATCTTAAGTTTTAGTTGAAACAAATACTGAGTACACGTTCAATATTCAAAAATAAGATTTTAATCTCCAGACGTCTTAATGTAGAAATTTTCAAACCTGAACTGAATTTTCAAAATGGAATTTGAAGAAGGAGTGAAGAATACAATAAAACTGGTTTATTTATTGAAACAGTCATAATTTTATATGTCACAAGAAGTTTCTTGACATTATCCTGCTGTAGAACTTATTAACGTGAAGGTTCTAGAAGGTTCAACACCCAGCACTTCAGGTATAAGACAGGGAAACCATTTGAGACCATACTTCATTTAAAATTGAATTAAAGTTATTAATGATATATATCGTATAAATATTATTAATTTTACAACTACTCTGTATGGAAGGAAGATTAAAATAGACAAATTCACAAAAGGTGTCTCTGACATACAGTTTGTCTTTGATTTTCTCACCATGGCTATATCCTGTGTATTTTTCCTGCTATTTTTTTTCAGCCTGAGAAAATTATATTTTGTACTCAATGATATAGCGGTAAATAAACACACAGACTGTATATATTTCATTGTTTAAATTTACTTTAATTGCTCGCCAAATTTCTGGTTGAAAACGTAGACATGAAACATTGATGATTATAAACTTGAGTCAATAAACCCAGATCTGGAATGTACCAAAAAAATCTCAGGTAGAATATAGAATATGGTGAAAGAAATTAGAGATGAACACATCAAAAACAATATAGCTAATATTTCTTTTGTTTAAATGTGGAATAATCTCAATTCAAAATACTTGGAGTAAATAGAAACAGAAACTTCATCTTAAAAGAGGAGTGATTAAAAAATCCCAGTGTTTCTGTTCTAATCTGTTATATAAGGTCTGTAATGAGACTAATAATTGTGTTTTTTACAAA